GCGGGACGGGGAATGGGGGGGTTGGGGGAATTTGGGGCTGGATTTTGCATTTTCAGCTGAATTTTGGGCTGATTTTTGGGGCTGAATTCTGGATTTTGAGGCTGATTCTCCATTCTAGACTGGATTTGGGCTTGAATTTTGAATTTTTAGCTTAATTTGGGGCTGAATTCTGGATTTGGGGCTGAATTTTGGGCTGATTTGGGGCTGAATTCTGGATTTTGGGGTGGATTTTGGGCTGAACTTGGGGTTGAGGTGGATTTTAGATTTTGGGCTGGATTTGGGGCTGAATTTTGCATTTCCAGCTGAATTTGGGGCTGAATTCTGGATTTTGGGTTGAATTTTGCATTTTTTGCTGGATTTGGGATTGGTTTTGGAACTGAATTCTGGATTTTGGGCTGGATTTGGGGGTGGGATTTGGGACTGATTTGGGATTTTTGGGTGGATTTGGAGCTTGATTTGGGGCTGATTTTGGGGCTGAATTCTGAATTTTGGGCTGGATTTTGGGGCTGGATTTGGAGCTGAAATTTTGCATTTTGAGCCGAATTTGGGACTGAATTTTGGATTTTGGGGTTGGATTTGGGGCTGAACTTTTGGATTTTGGGCTGGATTTGGGGCTGAATTTTTGGATTTTGGGGTGGATTTGGGGCTGAATTTTGGATTTTGGGGCTTGATTTTGGGGCTGAATTTTGGATTTTGGGGCTGGATTTGAGGCTGAATTTGGAGCTGAAATTTTGCATTTTAAGCTGAATTTGGGTTGGATTTTGGGGTGGATTTGGAGCTGAATTTTTGGGTTTTGGGCTGAATTTGGGGCTGAATTGTGGATTTTTGGGCTGGATTTGGAGCTGAAATTTTGCATTTTGAGCCGAATTTGGGGCTGAACTTTTGGATTTTGGGGCTGGATTTTGGGGGTGGATTTGGAGCTGAATTTTTGCATTTTGAGCCGAATTTGGGGCTGAATTTGTGGATTTTTGGGCGGATTTGGGGCTGAATTTTTGGATTTTGGGGTGGATTTGGAGCTGAATTTTTGGATTTTGGGGTGGATTTGGGGCTAAATTTTTGGATTTTGGGCTGGATTTGGAGCTGAACTTTTGGATTTTGGGGCTGGATTTGGGGCTGAATTTGGGGCTGAATTTTGAATTTAGGGGCTGGATTTTGAGGATGGTTTTGGGGCTGAATTTTGTGGATTTTGGGGTGGATTTGGGGCTGAACTTTTGGGGTCCCCAGGGAAGAAGAAGAAGAAAACCCGGGGCGATCACTTCAAGCTGCGCTTCCGCAAGAACTTCCAGGCCCTGCTGGAGGAGCAGGTGGGACTGGGAAATTTGGGGAAATTTTGGGGGAATTTGGGGGAATTTTAGGGGATTTGGGGGATTTTGGGGGGATTTGAGGGAATTTGAGAGAAATTCTGGGGCTGAATTCTGGATTTTTTTGGGGCTGAATTCTGGATTTCGGGCTGGATTTGGAGCCGGTTCTTGATTCTGTGGCTGAATTCTAGATTTTGGGGCTGGATTTTTTGGCTGAATTTTGGATTTAACGCTGGATTTGGGGCTGAATGCTGGATTTGGTGCGGATTTTGGCACTGGATTTTGGATTTTAAGCTGAATCGGGCCAGGCTTTGGAGCTGAATTCTGGATTTTGGAGCTGATTTTGGGGCTGAATTCTGAATTTTGAGTCCAAATTCTGGCTTATGGGCTGAATTCTGGATTATAAACTGGATTTTGGGGCTGAATTCTGGATTTTGGGGCTGCATTTTTTATTTCCAACTGAATTTCGAATTTTTTACTAGATTTGGGGATGGATTCTGGATTTTTGGGCCAGATTTTGGGTCTGAATTCTGGATTTTTGAGCTGAATTCTGGATTTTGAGGCCGAATTTTTTATTTCCAACTGAATTTCGAATTTTTTACTAGATTTGGGGATGGATTCTGGATTTTTGGGTCAGATTTTGGGGCTGAATTCTGGATTTTGGGGCTGAATCCTGGATGTTCTGGGCTGGCTTTTGGGGTGGAATTTTCTATTTTGGTGTTGAATTCTGGCTTTTGGGGCTGGATTTGGAGCAAAATTCTGAATTTTTCGGCCAGATTTTGGGTCTGAATTCTGGATTTTTGAGCTGAATTCTGGATTTTGGGGCTGAATTCTGAATTTTACTCCGGCTCAGTGCCCTAACCCCAAAATCCCCGAAATGCCCCCAGAACCTGAGCGCGGCCGAGGGCCCCAATTACGTCTCGGCCGGGGCCGCGCCGTCCCGGCTGCCGCAGCGCCACTTCTGCGCCGTCTGCGGCTTCCCCTCGGGCTACACCTGCGTCACCTGCGGGGCCAGGTACTGCTGCACGCGCTGCCTGGGCACCCACCAGGACACCAGGTACGGGGGAGCCCAAAAAAACCCGGTGAAAATGGGAAAAACGGTGAAAAAATGGGAAAAAAAGGTGAAAAAATGGTGAAAAACAGTGAAAAAATGGGAAAAAATGGTGAAAAAATGGGGGAAAAGTGGGGAAAAAACCAGCAAAAAAGGTGGCGGAAACCAGAAAAAAATTATGGAAAACAAAGAAGGAAAAATGAGGAAAAATTAGGAAAGTGGGGAAAGCGACAAAAAGTGGGAAAAAATATTGGAGAAATGGGGGAAAACCGGGTGGAAATGGGGAAAAAATGGGAAAAAGCAGGAAAAAAATGGGGAAAAATAAGGAAAAATGGGGGAAATTGAGAGAAAGGGAAAACAGGAAAAAAGGAGGGAAAAAATTTGGGAAAAAATGAGAAAAAATGGGAAAATGGAAAAGAAAAAGGGAAAATCAGGAAAATTTAAAAAAAAAAGGGAAATGGGGAACAAACTCCAGGAAAGTGGGAAAAAGCTCAAGGAAAATAGGAGAAATCCGAGGGAAAATGGGGGAAAAAGGAAAAGCTGTAAAAAAAAAGGAAAAAACTTGGGAAAGGTGAGAAAAAATTGGGGAAAATAATGGGAAATAACAGGAAAAAAGGGAAAAAAGTTTGGAAAAATGGAAGAAAATTGGGGAAAAACAGCAAAAAAAACCTGTGGGAATGTGACCTGGCAGTGGGACCCCCAGTTTTTGGGGGAGGGGTCTCACCCTGCTGACCCCCGACCTTTCCCTCCCCTCCCCCGCAGGTGCCTGAAGTGGACGGTGTGACCCTGCCCCCAATATGGCTGCCGTGGCCACGCCCACAGCATGGCTGCCGTGATGCCAGCCCAAAATGGCCGCCGTGAGCACGTCTTGTTTGGTCCCGCCCCAAAAATGGCCGCCATGGCCACACCCCCAAGATGGCTGCCACGACTCCACCCCCAACATGGCAGACATTGCCACGCCCCCAAGATGGCCACCATGGTCCCACCCCAAAAATGGCTTCCATGGCCGCGCCCCCAAGATGGCTGCCATGACTCCACCCCCAACATGGCGGCCATGACCACGCTCTCAAGATGGCTGCCATGGTCCCACCCCAAGATGGCTGCCATGACTCCACCCCCAACATGGCGGCCATGACCACGCTCTCAAGATGGCTGCCATGACTGCACCCACAAAATGGCCAGCGTGGCTCCACCCCAACATGGCGGCCATGGCCACACCCCCAAGATGGCTGCCATGACTCCACCCCAAACATGGCCACACCCAGAAAATGGCTGCCATGGCCCCACCCATCAAGATGGCTGCCAAAACTCCACCCCCAAGATGGCTGCCTTGACTCCACCCCCAAAATGGCAACCACGGCCACACCTCCAAGATGGCTGCCTTGGCCCCACCCACAAAATGGCCGCATTGGCCCCACCCCCCCAAGATGGCGGCCGGGCCCCGTTTGAACCAAAATCCGATTTTTTCCTCCCAAAATCTTTGGGATTGAGTTTATTCGGAGGGAGTGGGAGGAGCTACAGGAGAGGGGGCGGGGCCTGGGGAAGGGGGCGGGGCCTCGGGATTGGGGGGAAATCCGGGAAAATCGAGCGCCGCCCCTTTGAGGGCGGAGCTGCGCCGCCATTGGCCGGCGCCATGGGTCCAAGATGGCCGCCCTGGGCTGTGATTGGACGAGCATCGCCTGGGGGCTCCGCCCCTTTGTGGGAGTCAGGATCCTATTGGCTGCTGGGGGCACTGCCTTGGGATCAAGCCACGCCCATTTTAGGCCAAACCACCGCCCAGTAACCCAAGCCACGCCCCCTTCTGGGTAAGCCACACCCATTTTAGGGCTAAGCCCCACCCACAATGCTAAGCCACGCCTCTTCAGGCTCAAGCCCTGCCCCCAGCCAAGCCCTGTCCGTCAGGTCCAAGCCCCGCCCCTTTGGTCCAAGCCACGCCCCCACATCCCCTTGTGGTGCCCAGGCTCCGCCTCCTGTGACGTCACCAGGGCGGGGTCCCTCGACGACCAATCGGCGTTGGCTCCACCCCGCGGGGGCGGGGCGAGGCCGCCTGCAGCTGTGGGGATAATGAGATGCAAATGAGCTGGGGAGGGGGCAGGTGGATAAAAGGGAGTGGGCGTGGCCAGGGGAGGGGCGTGGCCAGTGTGGTTCTTATCTGGGGCGGGGTCACCTGGTGGGTGTGTCTTAATGGGGCGGGGCTTATATCGCTGTTCTCCTGGTGGGCGTGGCCTATTGGGGGCGGGGTTTATGACCTTTCTCACCTGGTGGGCGTGGCCTATTGGGGGCGGGGTTTATAGTCCTGCTCACCTGATTGGTCGGGCTCACTGGGGGCGGGGCTTATGTCCCTGCTGACCTGGTGGGCGTGGCCCTTTAGGGGCGGGGATTATATCCCTTCTCTCTGGGCGTGGCCTATTGGGGGCAGGGTTTATATCCCTGCTCACCTGGTGGGCGTGGCCCAGTGTGGGGCAGGGTTTCTCTCCCTGCTCACCTGATTGGCCGGGCTCACTGGGGGCGGAGTTTCTGTCCCTGCTCACCTGATTGGCTGGGCTCACTGGGGGCGGGGTTTCTCTCCCTGCTCACCTAATGGGCGTGGCCCTTTAGGGGCGGGGTTTATTCCCCTGCTCACCTGATTGGTCGGGCTCACTGGGGGCGGGGTTTCTATCCCGGCTCACCTGATTGGCCGGGCTCACTGGGGGCGGGGTTTATGTCCCTGCTCACCTGATTGGCCGGGCTCACTGGGGGCGGGGTTTGCGGCGGGGGGCGTGGCCTGCTCACCTGGTGGGCGGGGCTATTTCAGCACCTGGCCCGGCCGCGCCTTCTCCAGCTTGCGGCGCCGCTCGGCCGGGATCTCGTCCAGGCTGATCCCGTGGTTGCTCGCTCTGGGGAGGGCATTGGGGGGAATTCGGGGGGTTTTGGGCAATTTGGGGGAATTGGGGGAATTCGGGGCCCCAAATCCCAAACCCCTGACCCCAAACCCCAAACCCCAAACCCCGCAGCGGCCGCACTCACCCCGGCAGGAGGTCGGGGGGGGTGGGGATGGGTTTGGTGAATCCCTCGCGGCCCACGAGCCAATAGGTGTCCTCCACGCCCTTACCCTAAAATTTATAGGGTCAGGTATAGGGTTATGGGGTCAGTTATGGGGTTATGGGGTCAGTTATAGGGTCAGGTACGGACACAGCCAATAGGTGTCCTCCACGCCCTTACCCTAAAATTGTGGGGTTATGGGGTCAGGTGTGGAGTCAGGTATGGGGTTATATGGTCAGGTATGGGGTTATGGGGTCAGGTGTGGGGTTATGGGGTCAGGTATGGGGTCAGGTATGGGGTCAGGTGTGGGGTTATGGGTCAGTTATGGGGTACGAGCCAATAGGTGTCCTCCACGCCCTTACCCTAAAATTTATAGGGTCAGGTATAGGGTTATGGGGTCAGTTATGGGGTTATGGGGTCAGTATGGAGTCAGGTATGGGCACAGCCAGTAGGTGTCCTCCACGCCCTTACCCTAAAATTGTGGGGTTGTAGGGTCAGGTATGGGGTTATGGGGTCAGGTATGGGGTTATGGGGTCAGTATGGAGTCAGGTATGGGCACAGCCAGTAGGTGTGCTCCACGCCC